TTTTGGTATTAAAGTAATATTGGCTTCTATCCATATATTTAGTATGTCTTGTAGACATTTGTAAAATTTTGCCGGTAATCCATCTGGGCCTGGTATCTTGTCATTTTTTTTCTTTTTATAGCTTCCGTTGGCTCTATCATTGTTATTTTTCCATGCTGTGGGTTCCCCTCTTGTAGAACATTCTACACCCTGAAGTTAAGCTTGCTTCTTCCCTGCTATCGTTTAAGAACTCTCTCATGTATGTCATCAGGTCTGGAGGTCTTTGGGAAACAAGAGACATTTTTAGATGGCTTCACTCTGATTGACATTCTTCTGTCTATGGAATTTGTATATTTTTAAAAAAAAATGATGAGAAAGTAAGAGGGAGAAAATAAGCGGGGAAAGTACATCAAAAAATTGGTCTATGTGAAGCTGCTGCTAAATCATATCTACTTGAGTTAAAGCAAGAATAACATTTTTTAAAAATATATATTTTATTAGATTTTATATGGGTAGAGAAACGGTAGGGTCAGTGCGGGTACAAGAAAATCGGGATAAAAGGGACAGGGTGTGGATAACTACAGTAAATACGTAATTGAGCGAATAAGCTGTCATCCAGGTCTTCATATTAAGTATTATTGTTTATATAATACTAGACATTTATAGGAATAAATCGATATAGTTACAACTGACATTTGGTAAAAGACTAATATTCCTTTAAATAATTAACATAGTTAAATAGCATAACAACTATTTCCAATCATCAACCTTAATACTTAATATAGTAAAACTCTAAAATCTCTTCTTATTCTAACGTGTTTCAACCCACTGATAAAATTTTCCCCAGGTTTTATAAAAGATTGAATCTTCTTTCTCCTTCATCTCTAACGTTAATCTGTCCATTTCTGCACAATCTAGGATTTTCAAAATTATAATCTAGTCTGATGGTAGGTTTTCATTTTTCCAAAATTGGGAAAATACTATTCTTGCAGCTGTTAATAGATGTAATATTAAATAATCATTTTCTTTGTCATAGTTAGGTCTTCATATACCTAACAGAAATAGTTCCGGTTTAAATTCTGTCTGGATTTTCACCATCTTTTCTAACCATCTATGAATCTTAGACCAATATTTTTTTGCAATAGAACATGTCCACCATGCATGATAATAAGTAACCGGTTTTTGCTTACATTTCCAAAGTACCCGTTTTTTGCTTACATATCTGATAAGTTTTTAAATATTTTCGCTAAGCGAACTGGTGTCATATGCCATCTATAAAACATTTTATATAAATTTTCTTTGTATGTTACTGCTTTAGTAAGTTTAATATTTTTATCCCACAATTTTTGCCAGTCTTTTAATTCTATAGAATATCCAAAATTCTTTGCCCATACTATCATTGTCTCTTTTATTTGTTCTTCTTCCATCTTCCAATTTAATTATTTATAAAGCTTCTCAATCAAATGTTCATCAGTTTTTAAAAGTATTTTATCAAGTGGAGTCAGCTCTTTGTAAAATCCAATTATTTTTATGTCTTTTTCATATCTTGTTTGAATTTGCAAATAGGACCACCATGTTAAATCAATACCTTGTTGTTGAAGGGCTTGCCTGTCTTTGAGTTTTCCGTCCTTGTCCAAAATATTTTTATAACTAACAAGTTTATCATAATTAATCAAATTCGGGTAAGCAAATGCTTCCATCGTTGAAAGCCACTCAGGGATTTTCATATACATTTTGTGTCTAACTTTCTCCCATTCAGAAAGTAAAACATTTCTCATAGCATGGTTTTGAAAGTAGTTATGTATTTTAGCTTTCTCGTACCATAAAAAGGCATGCTAGCCTAGTTGAAGGTCATAACCCTCTAAATCAGTGTTTCTCAACCTTGACAATTTTAAGGCATGCTGGCTGTGGAATTCTGGGAGTTGAAGTCCACATGCCTTAAAATTGTCAAGGTTGAGAAACACTGCTTTAAATAGAGAATTCGCTTATTTCTCAGAGTAATCCATTCTTTAAGCCAAAGCAAAATAGCTGCTTGATAATAAAGTCTCCAATCCGGAAGTCCAAAACCCCCTCTATCTTTCGAGTCTTGTAGAAGTTTACATTTAATTCTTTCTTTCTTTGCCATATAAATCTTAATATCATTGTGTTTAAATCGTCAAAAAATTTGTTACCCAGCTGTACAGGAACTGTTTGAAATAAAAAAAAAATTAGCTTTGGTAAAATGTTCATTTTAACAGTTGCTGTTAAAAGATAGTTTGCTAGCAAAGATAGTTGGAGATTTTCCCATTTTTCCAAGCTGATTTTTATTTGTTTTATTATTCTCTCATAATTATCTCCTTTTAGTAATGTATATTTCGCCATAAGATAGATACCTAAATATTTAACTATTTTAACTATTTGAAGATTTGCCTTTTTGATGAATTGAGTTTTCTGTTTATCAGTTAAATTTTTTGTTAACACTTTGGTTTTTTCCCTATTTATTTTCAGTCCAGCCACTTCTCCAAATTTCTCAATTTTCTGCAAAAGTTTAGGGGCTGAATTGCAGCTTTGCAAGATCTTCTTGTGTAGTTTCCTTACTACAGAAATACAACCAGTCACAGATAGCAAAAAGCCAGACACTAGGCCAAAAAAAAAAAAAAAACCAAAAAAAAAAAAAAAACCAAAGTTCTCTCTTGAAGGTCTCTAAAAGATAAGAATGTCTGGGCACACAGCCAAGTGTCTGGGCATTGTGCCAAACTTTGCAACTGTGTATCCAAGAAAAAAAAAAAGAAGATAAAATATAACTACCAGGGGATGCTGTTTCTTTCCCCGTTGTTTGAATAGGGAGAAAAAAAAAGTTTTAAAAAGTGAAACAGCAAGCTAAAGTTCCGTAGCAAGGCAATTGAGCTGGCTTCTTCCGAAAAAAAGAATATATATCATAGCAATCTTGCTTTTCCATCCATAATAAAATATAGTAAGATCTTCTACTTTAATTCCATTGAAAAAAAGTTCAAAAATTTTATAATAAAGCTTAAACTGCCACTTTGGGGGAGGGGGGAATCAAAGACCCCTTCTCCCTCCCTCGAGCTTCCAGCTTCAGCTCAAAGGCAGGCAATTTATTTCAAAAGGTCCAGTTTGCCATAAATATTGAAGTTATCTCACCCGGAGCAGTTGCTTATTCTCAATCAGCTGTCTTCTGTCTCCAACGATCAGCTGGTGATGGCAGCAATCGCAGAAGCACTCCACCCTTCTTTTTCCAGTTCCAGGGGCTGTTTTGAGTTCAGAGAGCCGGCTACTGCCGGCTCCCCTTCCTCAAAGGTTCACTCCTCAGTGGCCACCCCTCCAGAGTGGCATTCAGCCCAGAAGGGCCTGCTAGCGAAAGAATTCCGGACCCTGGGGACGGAAAATCTTCTCCAGGGTCTATAGTCAGCTACGTCCAAGAATAACAACATTTAATATTGTTAGAAGCTCATTCATTCTATGCAATCCATTCTGGACTGGTACATAGTAGTTGGAACATCTGTAATTTATAAAGCAAAAATAGTGTTAACATCTTAGTACTGATTGTTATCAAGGAAATAGATAACCCTTTTCATTATGATAATATGATTTCTGCATGGTTTATGTTTAACTAGGTGGTCAAAAAAAATCACAATGATGAAATGAGAAAAAGTTACATAATTTCAATAATCAAAGAAAAATATATATTTCTACATTTAATTTAAATGTGGGAAATTTCTTTTATTTTGTTTTTTGAGCTTTTGTTTTATTTAATAGAATTCAGAAAAATCCCATTGGTGATGGGGATCTTTATTTCTTTGTTTAGTACTGTATGGGTTTCTTCTCAGCATATAGTTCTCTTTAGATATTTTTTTTTTAAAAAAACAATATACTCCATCACAAAATACAAGTATATTTACCTATTTAGCATACATGGAAAAATACAAACATTAAAAAAGCATTAATTGTAATGTACTTTTTATGTTTACTAAAATTATATTTAGAAGAAAATGATTTGAAAAAGAGTTATGAATTACTGTCTGAAATTAGTGGACAATATGAGAAACTATGATTTAATCTTCTGATTTTGTACTGTACTAAACTGATAGCCTACTCTTAATTATTTTTCAACTCTTTCAAATATTCATTTTATAAATTAAGAGTTGGTTTTATGGACACTATATGAATTTGTAGTAAAAATATATAGCAAACAAATTGTAATTATCCTATTATAAGAGAAAAATGTTTGCAAATAACTTGTCTGTTCCATGGTAACAGTAACTTTAGTTGAATTATTCTTTGCCTTCATAGATATAGTCCTGCCCAGCAAATCTTTGTCACCAAAGAAGTTATAAAATTGTTTTCACAAGGAAGACATAAAAAAATGAAATATTTAAGATACTGATGCTAGCTGTTGCTTCCATCTTTGAATAGAAACAGGGATTATAATTGCCCCCTATTTATTAAACCTAATGTTTAGCTCAAGGATGGGCAAATTATAGGCCTCATATGCTCCCCAACAATTACTTTTCACTACCAGACCATTTCCAGATAATTTTTTCAAAATTAAAGTAGATAATGTGATTTGGGCATTTTTGTTAAAATAATTAAAAATACATACATAAAGTTATTGCAAGAATTAATTTTGCCAATTAAGCTCTTTAGATTAAAGTTTTGTTTTTACCTCTTTTGTTTTTACAGTCACATTACATGACATGACATTCAAACACATGAAAACAAATGACACACAAAATAGCTTTCCAGTCCAGATATTTTTCTATGTGTTTTCAACTTATAGACAGACAGATTAAGGCTTTTATTATGTTATTTGAAGAAAAAATTAACAATTGTGCATTTTAATTTCTCTCAATCACAATATTCAAGAAAGGTACTAACATTGTCATCCCAACAATCCTTCTGTGTTTCTCAATTAATTCCTCCCCAAAAGATCTTTTAAAGTTCATTAATTAGGAGTATCTGGTGGACTGATTATACTTTAAATGTGCATCCAATTTATCTCTTCTCCTTTTCTTCAATTGTAGGGGGAAATTTGCAGTAGTAAGAAAATGTATAAACAAAGAGACTGAAAAAGAGTTTGCGGCAAAGTTCATGAGGAAAAGAAGAAAAGGCCAAGACTGTCGAATGGACATAATTCATGAGATTGCAGTCCTGGAATTAGCACAATGCAATCGATGGGTTATTAACTTGCATGAAGTATATGAGACGCCAACAGAAATTATTTTGGTTTTGGAATAGTAAGTAATACTTTTGTATGCTTTAGTATAGTATGTTTGGACTTTAATATACTCTTGATGAAATAATTTCAGTTTCCCTCTAATTTATTTTGATTTTATTCTGCTTATCTCTGGAGCTCTGAACCACATCCAAGCAGTGAACAAGCCAAGAACAAAGAACATGAGAGATGATCATATGAAAGTATAGAATAAGGTTTCAGCTTTGTAACATAAAATTATGCCAAAAAGATTGGAGTTTACTAATACGGTAGCAAAAGCAAAGTGCCCCAGATAAATGACTTGAATTCCTTTTTTTATAATATTTTTATTAAAAGATTTAGATAGAACAATAAAATATAAATACAAGCTAATAAGAAGAAAGGGAATCAAGTTTTTTTTAATGTGTGTGTGCATCCTCAAAAATGCGATTTCCCACCCTCATCATGACAAAAACAATTTCATAATCTCTTCATCTTCTTATTAAAAAATGTAACACTCTTCATTTTACAACACATCTGTTAACAGTAGGCAAATTAAATAAACAAATCTTTTCCAATCCAATTATCAGCAAAAAGCCCAGAACTCTAAAATATTAGAATTAATTAGCTAACTGATTGCTGTAAAGAGGGAGATTCCCTTTTTTCTCTCCTTTTTTTCCCGTGTGTCCTATATACTGTTTAGTTTTATGCTTTTTCTTTCTGGATGATGACCAAGACTGCTGTAAATTTTATATATATATATAAAATCCTGATATTGGCTATAAATAAAAGACCAAAGTAATGAAGAAGAAATAATTTCTTTTTTAAAAGGCAATTCACCAAACCTCCTTACTTGGAGTAATAATACATTGGGAGGCAAAGCTAGTTTGAATGCTACAGTTAGGATGTTTAAAATAATTATTGTGGTAAGGATTAAAACACTTTATTAAATGTAAACAATTTCATTTTTCTAGTTATCAGCAAATCCAAAAAAAAACTCGAACTACAATACAGGTAATCCTTGACATATGACATAATTGGTACTTAAATTTCAGTTGTTAAACAGTGCAATTATTAAGTGATTCATCACACAACGAGACTCAATTGTACAGCCATTTTTACTGTAATCATTAAGTAAATCACACAGTCGTTAAGTGAATCTGACTTTTTCAATTGACTGGCTGGAAAGCCAGTTGGAAAGTCACCAATAGTGATCACATGATCCTGGGATATTGCAACTGTCATAAATTTAAGCTAGTTGATCTCAGGGTAGTGCAACAGTCGTAACATTGAGGATGGACCGTAAGTCACTTTTACCGAGGAGTCATTACCTCTAATCACTGTTAAACAAATGATCATAAGCCAAGGATTTGTAACAACCTGTCCTATTTTATGCCAACTTTCTATTCCAATCTTTCTTTATAGTTCATATATATGATTGGTGATCCTTGTTACAGATTTCTTTAGTACATTTAACCATATCTTTGTGAATCCAGTAAAAAGAAATCATTCCAATTGTCTTCTGGGATTGCTGAACTTACATTTTGTTTTTTCTTGTGGATTATAAAACTCCATGATTAATATATATACAAATGCATTGTGCAACTTGGTTGCATCTGAAACTGATTTATGCTTTCTTTCCCTGCTGCTCAGATTGTGGCTGAAATTATTATTTATTATTTTGAAAAATAACTCAAGATGGTGAACATACCCAACACACCTTCCTCCTCCTATTGTCCCCACAACAACAACCCTATGAAGTGAGTTGGGCTGAGAGAGAGTGACTAACCCAAATTCACATGGCTGATTTCATGGCTAAGGCAGGACTTGAACTCCTGCTTTCTAGCCTGGTGCCTTAACTAATAGACCAAACTGATTCTTGAATATGAAACAACAGCACAAAGTATTATTACATTAATAAGTGTAGTTGTCTTTAAAAATATAGTAGCTGACTTCATTTTGCATTTAAATCTAGATGTTTTAAATTAATGATTCCCTAGATTAGTCATATGGTGTCTATATCAATTTTCTACTAGCATTCCCTGCAGCTAAGAGTTGTTTCATAGAATTATGAAGAAAAATACAAATATACATGTTTACAGTATCATCATAAGGATGTGATATGGAACCTACCAATAGCTTCATCAAGAAAAGGTAGTTATGGCAGGTTCATTGTTGATTGAGACATAGTTGACATTTATAGTGGTCTCCCTGATTCTTTGATTATATGTCATACCAAAGCCACTCTTGCAAGATGCCTTTACTCTCCCTGACTTCATGAGAGTCCTGCTTTAGTTGTTACAGATAATATAAGGAACTTGCCATTGCTAGTTGATCATTACTAAAAAGCAGCATAAAAGATGTTGGAGGGGGGCTGCAAGGCTGTCAAGATACTGGATTTGCTTTAGTATACAGTATTAATCATATATTGCTATGAAAGACAGTGGCCTGCTGAATCAACAGTAAGAAGTTATTAAGTGAGCATCCATCCTTGCTTTAACATTGTTGTTCCTGCACAAGTACTTTGTTGGAAATCTTTGGGTTTTACCAGGAAACAAATCCATCTGAGACTTGGTTCTACATCTTTGTATTTAATGATAAGTCCTTAAGATAGAACAAGAGTCTTCTAATGTAAACCCACCCTGTTCAATCTTTTTAAAAGATTGACTCAATAGATAGCTGACTAAATCAATCTGGAATAGTCTTGAAAATATCAGGGCTATTTTTACTAGATTGTGTGGCTTGGGAGTGCACATGGGAGTGCACAAGAGGTGTACATGAATCAGGAAAGGCATGCGGATAATAGTGCAGTCAGGGAAATTGGATGGGGATGCCCAAGAAATGCTGTATGTGTAAGGACCCACCCCACTTTGCATCTTAAGAAGACAGAACTCTTGGAATAGTTCTTCCAACAGGAATCCTTTATTAAGAGAAAATGGTTGCAGGCATGCTAGACAGGACTTTGGGTCCAAGCTCTCCCATTCAAGGTTTTAAGGGGTTCCCCAGTAGTCCCACCCAATCAACCCCCCTTCCAGTGATAGTTTCAAGTATCACAATTCTTCTTTCTTCCGTCTGGATGGAGACTTCAGATAACTACATGAAAGGCAAATACTCTTCTTTGTTAATGCTAATGTTCTCTGGTGTTAACGCTTTGAGGTTACAATAGGTTACAATAAACACACATTCAGCATTCAGCTCTTTGAAGTCTACTGAAGGAAGTGAGGGCCATAAAGCCCCTTTGTTCTCCCCCTTCTCTCCCTCTTATGGCAGAATCCAAAGAAGGCAGAATTGGGAGTTTCTATATTTGATAATTAAAGATGAAATATGATTGGATTCTGACATCCGGCCCCTCTTAACAATAAGAGAGATCCACCTGCAAGAAAACAAAACAGGTATAAAAGTTAGTTAGGCTTGTTAGGATACTCTGTGTGAAACTTCTTCAATAGTTTCGGGGCTCTGACATGACGTTTATGGACCCACTCTTTTTGTGAGGCAGGGAGGTGTTTCCAGGCAACTAGGTACTGAGTTGCTCCATGATATCTCCTAGAGTCAAGGACTTCCTTTATTTCGAAGTGTTGTTCACCCTCCACCATGATTGGAGGTGGTGGGGGGGGGGATTTTTGGCCGTAGAGGTGACTGATGCTCCCTTTTCAGCAAGCTGCAATAAAAAATTGGGTGTATTTGCCTGAGATTTTTGGGTAATTCTAATTCTACTGTTACTGGATTTATGATTCTTTTGATTGGAAAAGGTCCTATGTATTTTGGTCCAAGTTTTTTACAGGGCTGTAGGGACTTTATGTATTTTGTAGATAAGTACACCATCTCTCCTATAATGAATGGTGTAGGCTCAACCCTTTTTTTATCGGCTTGTGTTTTGTAAGCCTGCCTAGCTTCATCTAGTGCTTTTCTGACTATTGGCCAGGTGTTTTGTAATTTTTCCATCCATTCTTTCAGCGAGGGTATCGTTGGTTCGTTTGGGGTTAATTCTGGCATGGGGTTGAAACTTTGACCGGTGGCTATTTGAAAAGGAGTGTAACCTGTGCTGGAGTGGACTGCATTATTGTAGGCAACTTCTGCAAAAGGGAGTAAGTCCGCCCACTCGGTCTGCTGGAAACTAAGAAAACATCTTACATATTGCTTAAGTACTGAGTTCATTTTTTCAGCCCCCCCATTTCCTTGAGGGTGGTGGCTAGATGTCAGTCCCTGAGTGGTTCCTAAGAGGGATAAAAATTCCTTCCAAAATGCAGACGTAAATTGCACCCCCCTGTCAGAGATGATGCGTTGGGGTGCCCCATGCAATCTGTAAATGTGTTGGATGAAAAGTTTTGCTAAGGCTTTTGCAGTGGGAATCTTTTGGCAAGGGATACAGTGCACCTGTTTGGAAAACAAGTCCGTGACCGTCCAGACCACAGTATTCCCATTGCTTTCTGGCAATTCCACTATAAAATCCATGGCTATTTCTCTCCAGGGGGCTGAGGGACTTGCCACTGTTTGCAATAGTCCTGGCACTTTCCCTTGCAACCTCTTTGCCGTGGCACATTTTGGACAACTGGCTATATAACTTTCAATGTCCTTTTTCATGGATGGTCACCAAAATTGCCGTTTAATTAAATGTAAAGTTTTTACAAATCCAAAATGCCCTGCTGATTTTGTGTCATGGCAAAGGTGCATGAAAATTACTCTTTGAGGTGTTGGTATATATAACTTTTCCCCTATCCAAGGCAACCCGTCTCTCAGTGTGCACACATTTTTGTTTTTCTGGAACAATGATTGTTTCAACTGTTTCTGGAATTCATTCCAGTTTTGGCTGTCCAGTTGTGGTTTTAATTTTGGCTTGTTCTTGTGTTACTGTGCTGCCAGTTGTGCCCCCCCACTCTGCCATTATTGTCTTACAGTCGTGGTTTCGTGCGCTGTTATATTGGGCATTGGCCGATAGGGCATCTGCCAGGAAGTTCGTTTCTCCTGGTTAAATGTTTGAGCTTAATTGGAATTGTGAACTGCTGGACCACAGCGGCTTGTTTGGATTGAGTTTCCTGGAATATT